TAATTCCTTTATTTTTAAATTCAATTTCTTTCAGTGTATTCCCGTCATTCATTTCATGAATCATTTTCGTATTTCTGTTTGTCTATCGAAATGCCAATAAACATTTCTTTACAATGAAGTTCTCCATCAATTGACACGCCAAAACGATATTAACTGTTAATTTGTTAGTTAATATGACAACAACAACAACAACAGCGACACAAAACCAAAACAAACAAAACACAAACATCGTAATTATGCCAATCAACTTTAGCATTTCCACCAGCATCTATGCTAATAGAATTAGTTAAAACAGCACAGAGCGTGCAAATATAACTATGGGGTTAATAAGTTTATCACCACCTCTATTTAAATTATATTATTAAACAGAGAAAACACACTAACTTCGGATATTTTTATCCTAATTTAAATTAATAATAATTTATGTAAAGAAATATTTACCCTTGGTGCAATAGTTGTATTTTTAGAAATGTGCTAATAAAACAAAAGACTTAAGACACAAATGTAAATTGGTAGGTTTTTATTTTTTTTTAGAATTTTTTTACCAATAAAAGTGAATTATAGAGTTCTTGTCATTAATTTGTAATGACCAGCCAATATGGCCATTTCCGTAAGACAACTGATTTTGCAAGCAAACAGTTGAAAATTGTTGAAAAGTGGTCCATTGTGATTCAGAATTTCATTTTCTTAAGCAAAAATCGTATTATACCCTCCACCTTGGAAAGGAGGGTATATTAACTTTGTCATTCCGTTTGTAACATCCTTAAATATTCGTCTTAGACCCCATAAAGTATATATATTCATAATCAGCATAAAATTCTAAGTCGATTTAACGATGTCCGTCTGTCTGTCTGTCCGTCCGTCTGTCTGTCTGTCCGTCTGTCTGTCTGTTGAAATCACGATACAGCCCACATTATTTGACGTAGAGGGCCAAAATTTAGCAGAGCTATTTGCATTGTGTCTAGGATGGTTGGTATTGAAAATGAGATATATCGGTCCACGTTCTGGTATAGTCCCCATATAACGGTACCTTCCGATATTCGGTATTTTGATGATTTATGCCACATTTTTTCACGGATTTGTCTGAAAATTGGTATTTGTAGGTCATAACGGGTCCCTGAGCGTGGGGCAAAACATTGCATGTATAGGTCCCCGTTGTGGTATAGCCCCCATATAAAGGTACCTCCCGATATTCGGTATTTTTTTTTTTTTTGCCACATTTTTTCACGGATTTGTCTAAAAATTGGTATATGTGGGTCATAATGGTTTCCAGCTCCGGTGGCGAAACATTGCATGTATGGGCCCATGATTTGGTATAGCCCCCATATAACGGTACCTCCCGATATTCGGTATTTTCATGGTTTTTGCCACATTTGTTCACTGATTTGTCTAAAAATTGGTATTTGTGGGTCATAATGGGTCCCTGAGCGTGTGGCAAAACATTGCATGTGTAGGTCCACGTTTTGGTAAAGCCCCCTTATAACGGTACCTCCCGATATTCGGTAATTGGATGATTTTTGCCACATTTTTTCACGGATTTGTCTGAAAATTGGTATTTGTTGGTCATAATGGGTTCCAGCTTCGGTGGCGAAATATTGCATGCATGGGTCCATGATTTGATATAGCCCCCATATAACGGTACCTCCCGATATTCGGAATTTTAATGGTTTTTGCCACATTTCTTCTAATGTTTCTTTTACCCTAAGGTGGAGGGTATTAAAAGTTTGGCCCGGCCGAAATCAAAATTATGTAGAGCGAAGATGAAGAAGCTTATCTTTGTTATTTTGGAATTAATAAAACTGTAGAAAATATCTGGAGAAAATCGAGATTAAGTACTTATCTCAATTAAATTCAAATTTATTGGATTAAACTATAAATGTAATGGAAGTCATGAAGTATGTGGAAATATGTGTCATCTCCTCTGTCAGTCCCGAGCTGTCAGTTCAAAACTTTTAATCTTTTCAAAACTATAGAAAATATCTAAAAATATATTGGAATTGTTTTTAATATAATCTAAAAGTAATACCTAATATCTCTAAATTAAAAAATAAATATTTATATAAATAAATATTTCCAAAGTTATTGAATTTTTTGAAATATGCTAATAAAACAAAAGACTTAAGACACAAACACAATTTGGGTATGTTAAATTGTGCTTCGAACCAGGACGGTTTTGACTTCTATGAAAATATTACTTGAAAAAAATAAGGAGAAAATCTGTAAATTCAGCCGGTCCGAACTTTGAATACCCTCCACCATTTGGAACGAATTTGCCAATTTTCAAAAAAAAAATAAATAAAATCCGTTAAAAATTTTGTTAAAATTTCAAAAATACCGACTGTAGCCGTTATATTGGGGTCTATACGACGACGTGGATCTGCAGGGGCAACTTTTGTCATAAGCCATTACAACATTTAAATGCGAAAAAAATCGGAGAATAATGTTGCTAAAATCATCAAAATACCGAATATAGGATTTTAGATTTGTTCGAATTTGTCACCTTTGGCACGAATTATGGCCTTCAAACTGCCAATGAAACCGTCACACGCTGCCCGAATGTTGCTCTGCGGTATTTTGGCCCATTCCCGGTATTTTTTATTACTAACCTTGCTTTCCAAAATACTCCAACGGATTGGTATCCGGAGATTTTGGTGGCCATTGTGCGCTGCAAATGAAAGCGAAGAACCTCATTTTGTAACCATTCATGGGTGGCGCGTGCTGAGTGCGATGGTGCTGGATCCTGTTGGAATGTCCAAAGTCTGCGGCCAAAATGTTTGCATGCCCAAGGCTTTAATACACCCTCCAGATTATTTTCGCGATAATAATTGGCATTTATTCTGGTGCCATAGTCGATTAATACGAGTTATGGCGAGCGGCTGTTATGGCGGTCCATACCATCACCATGGCCGGCGCTTGAGTTCTGGTGGCCATCCGAAGGTGCACCCTTTGGCAAGTAAACACGATCATTTTGTTTGTTTACAAACTGCTCGACAACGAATTTTTTCTCATCGGAGAAAACCAAATTCGGCAGTTCGCCACTTTCGGCCAAGCGAAGCAAAGCTCTTTTAGCTCTTTTGAGTCTATTTTCTTTCCGTTGTGGTAGAAGTTTCGTGCACTTTTTCGAAATTCAATAGCTTACCCCGAGCTCATTTTTTAATAATTGTCGAATGGAAAATTGTGAAATGTTCAGCTCACGAGCCATTTTTCGGCCACTACGACGCAGACTTCGATAAAGTTGCTTCTTTACTTTTCGAACCATTTCTGTTTATTTTGCTTTTTTGTTAGAGATATACAGATATCACACTATCACGCTTGAATTCCATCACGAATAACTTCTTTTATACCCTCCACCATGCTATGGAGTGTATATTAACTTTGTCATTCCGTTTGTAACTCCTCGAAATACTCATGTCATATATAAATATATATATATATATATATATATATATATATATATATATATATATATATATATATATATATATATATATATATATATATATACTACGGCCTAGGACAGAAAATGGTTTGGGCAAGTCCACGTCTTCGTGTAGCCCCCCTATAAAACGGTACGTCCCAATATTCGGTATTTTGATGATTTAGCGTCATTACGTATTTAGAATTCGTTATGGGAACTACAGTCTGTGACACATAATTTTTTTGCAGGTCCAGGTCTTCGTATAGGCCCTATATATCAGTACCTCCCAATATTCAGTATTTTGACGATTTTAGGTACAATACTCACCGAAAGTGTTTGAGACGTCGTATTTGAAGTTCGTAATGAATGCTACAGCTTGTGACAGAAAATTGTTTATGCAGGTCCAAATCATCGTATAGCTCCGATATAACGGTACCACCCTATATATGGTATTTTAAAGATGCTACATTATACCCATTTATAATATGGTAATGGCTTATAACATACAATACCTATGTAGGTCTACGTCGTATGGACCCCAATATAACGGCTTTATTCAGTATTTTTAAGAACTTCTTAAGAACGGACGAACTTACTGCTTTTTAACTTGTTCTGTCCTTTTTTAGTCTATATACTCGTACCAGCCGTTTTAGAGAATTGAAACCTCATTTTCTAACCAACCAATTTTGAATTGTGGTTTGAAAATATTTTTCATTGATCCAATACAAAATACATTTGAAGGAAATCGGTAGACTGAAAATATGTTTGTATGATAAACCGATCTATGCAACTATCACCGGGAACTAGTTTTAAATTAAAACTTCATTTTCCAGCTGCAATATTTCTAAAATGTCAAATGTTGAAGACGTCAGCAAGCGAACGATGACCGATGAAATATTGCCAGCCCAATTTTGCACAAAATTCTGGTTTCGCTTTATTATTTTTTAATTAATAACTTTATTAGTTCAATTTTGACAAAGAATTCAATAACAGCTGGGCAATAAAAGCATACAAATTTTTATGAAAATAAAACAATCTTGTTTATGAATGCTAGATTGCATAATTTGTTATGCTTACTAATTAAAAAATAAAAAAAAAACAACGGCAAAATTGTGTCATGGGAGTACTTTGTCTTATCAGCACAAAAAAAAAAATCAGAAGAATTCCCAACAGAAAAAAACAAGACACCAGAGTCTCGTGGCCAAAGTTTCTCGTTTTGCACTAATAGACATATCTCCCACCAAAAAGCCAACAAAGACAATAAAAAAAATCGAATATTTAAAAGAAATTAATAATAAAAAAGAATAATAAAACCCTTGTTTTAAAACATTACTAAAAAAAGCTTGTTCTAAATTTTTAAACACAGCAACGCTAACTAACAGAAGCCAAGCCAAGTCAAGCCAAGACACACATTATGCAAATATAAGAAAGGAAGAATAGAAAAAAAAACACAACCAACAACAATGACAACGACACCACAACAGGTGATTAGAAAAATTGATGAACAAAAAAAACGAAACAAAATGAAACAAAATAGCTTAGCCGTTGATCTTTCAACACCGTTCACATCATTTCAAATTCACCGCTCAACGCGAATCATTGGCCGCTTCGAAGACCGGCAATCGGCGACTTCCTAAATAAATAGACGGACGCGTCACTAACTTGAGCACCGCGAGATTCTTTGATTTGGTGAAGTTTTGAAAATCAAGAAAACAAACAAATATTGAATAAAAAATAATAATAACATTTTTCTAAAATTAAAAAAAAAATCATTAGATCGTTAGTTTTTTTTTCTTAAACAAATAGTTGTTTGAAAAAAATATTTTGTTTTGAGTGATTTTGATTGTGCACAGGCCAACAAGAAAATGTTGTTGTTATTTGTGTTTGTGTCATTGCAACTATCTTTTGGTTGGTGTCAACTTTCATGGTGTGATCCCTCTCTGTGCGATGGTCGCACCGATATTCGCCACATTGCCTGTGGAAATTATGGGGTAAGATCGAATTAATATTGAGATTAAAAGAAAACAGTATCTTACGCGAAATCAAAAGAGAATGGTAAATTAATTTTATTGTTTTGCTAGATTAGTGGGTGATGACGAGATTGTGATATTGTTATTGTTTTCGATATCAGTTCTTTTGATTTGCTGACAAGACAAGGTACTCCAATGACATAGTTTTTTTGTGGTTTTAATCGAAGACATAAAAATATTGAATTTTTAAAAGATGACTTTGGTGAGAAATATTTTCGGAAATAGGTACAAAAAATTTGTTCTTCAAACAAAATTTTTTTTTTGTAGTTTGAAAGCTTTATCCATTTAAAAATGCTAAAACCTAATTTTAAAGTACTAAAACCAATTCTCTTTAAAAAAAATGAATTTAATTTATAAAAGGTATATTCTCGTCACAAAACAAAAGACTTAAGACACGAACCTTGAAGCAGAGTGAAGGCGTATTTTTATACCCTCCACCTTGGAAAGGAGGGTATATTAACTTTGTCATTCCGTTTGTAACATCCTTAAATATTCGTCTTAGACCCCATAAAGTATATATATTCATAATCAGCATAAAATTCTAAGTCGATTTAACGATGTCCGTCTGTCTGTCTGTCTGTCTGTTGAAATCACGATACAGCCCATATTATTTGAAGTAGAGCTCCAAAATTTAGCAGAGCTATTTGCATTGTGTCTAGGATGGTTGGTATTGAAAATGAGATATATCGGTCCACGTCCTGGTATAGTCCCCATATAACGGTACCTCCCGATATTCGGTATTTTGATGATTTATGCCACGTTTTTTCACGGATTTGTCTTAAAATTGGTATTTGTAGGTCATAGCAGGTCCCTGAGCGTGTGGCAAAACATTGCATGTATGGGTCCAAAATTTGGTATAGCCCCCATATAACGGTACCTCCAGATATTCGGTAATTTGATGATTTTTGCAACATTTTTTCACGGATTTGTCTGAAAATCGGTATTTGTTGGTCATAATGGGTTCCAGCTCCGGTGGCGAAACATTGCATGTATGGGTCCATGATTTGGTATAGCCCTCATATAACGGTACCTCCCGATATTCGGTATTTTGATGGTTTTTGTCCTAGTTCGTGTGGCGAAACATTGTAATTATAGGTCCACGTTTTGGTATAGCCCCCATATAACGGGACCTCCCGATATTCGGTAATTTGATGATTTTTGCCACATTTTTTTCACGGATTTGTCTGAAATTTGGTATTTGTTGGTCATAATTGGTTCCAGCTTCGGTGGCGAAACATTGCATGCATGGGTCCATTATTTGATATAGCCCCCATATAAAGGTACCTCCCGATATTCGGCATTTTGATGGTTTTTGCCACATTTTTTCACTGATTTGTCTAAAAATTGGTATTTGTGGGCCATAATGAGTCCTAGTTCGTGTGGCGAAACACTGTAATTATAGGTCCACGTTTTGGTGTAGCCCCCATATTACGGTACCTCCCCATAATCGGCATTTTAATGGTTTTTGCCACATTTCTTCTAATGCTTATTTTACCCTAAGGTGGAGGGTATTAAAAGTTTGGCCCGGCCGAACTTAATGTTTTTTTACTTGTTATGCACTTGATTGGTCAACGTGCAAAAATAAATTTTTTGAAACTATTAAGGAGGAGAGCTTATAGGGGCCAAGATCGGGAATGTGGTTCCCTCCACACCGTCCGTCTGTCCGTCTATCCGTCTGTGAAAATCACTCTAGCTTCCGAACGAAATGAAGTAGGTTGATAAAATTTTACTCAAATGTATATTATGTCTGCAGGACTTTTGGTATTGAAAATGGGTCATGTAGGTCCACGCTTTGGTATAGCCCCCACATCATGGTTTGATTTTGGTGATTTAAGCGACATTATTCACCGGGATTGTTTCAAATTTGGTGTTTGTAGTTCGTAACGGATACTACAGCCTATGACAGAAAATTGTCTGTGGCGGTCCACGTTTCGTATATCTCCCATATAACGGTACCTCCCGATATTCGATATTTTCATGATTATAACAACATTATTCGACGAAATTATTTTAAATTTCTTATTTGAAGTTCGTAAATTGTAGTACAGCCCTATGACAAAAATGTTTGTATACAGGTACCGATATTGAGTATCCTGATGATTTTAGCAACATTATTTACCACAATCATTTCAAATTTCGTATTGGGAGAACTTAAAGGTTACTACAACCTGTGGAAAAAAAATTGGTATGCAGGTCAACGTTTTCTTATATGATGTTACCGACATTATTTACCGGAATTATTTATAAATTTCGTATTTGAAGTTCGTAACGGATACTACAGCCAATGACCAAAAAAATGTTTGTACGCAGTTCCACGTCTTCGTATAGCTCCCAATTAATGGTACCACCGATAATTGGTATTTTGATGATTTTAGCGATATTATTCGCCGGAATCAATTCAAATTTGGAAGTTCTTATTGAGTACTGCAACCTGTGCCAAAAAACTTAGTATGCAGGTCCACGTCTTCGTATTGCCCCAATACAAGGGTACAGATACTCGGTATTTAATAATTTTTTGCTACATTATTTCCCTGAATTGTTGCAATTTTCATATTTGAAGTTCGTAATAACTACAGCCTATGACCTCATATAACAGTTTTAATTTAAGTAGTAGTTTTCGAACTTTTTTTAATTTTTCAAACGACCAATTAAATTGTCAGACGCTGCCGGAATATTGGTCTGTGGTATTTTGGCTCGTTCCCGGTGAAGCGCTTGCTTGAGGTGATCGACAGAATAGTCCAACGGATTGGTATCTGGAGAAAAACCTCATTTTGTAACCATTCTGGGGTGGCGCGTGCTGAGTGCGATGGTGCTGAGTCCTGTTCAAATGTCCAAGGCTTGCGGAGAAAATGTTTGCGTGCCCAAGGCTTTAATACACCCTCCAGAATATTTTCGCGATAATATTCGGCATTTATTCTGATGCCACGGTCGATTAATACGAGCGGAGAGCGACCATTGGCTGTTATGGCGGACCAAACATTCTAATGTACAAAATTTGTACCAAATTGAATACAAATATTTTCAATTTGTGCTGGAGATACCACAACGATTGAACGGATAAATACTCTTTCGCTCACGGCCTAGCGGGGTGGTTTCGGAATCTTTGGCCTGTCTGTTGTGTTAGCAAAACAAAAGACTTAAGACACAAACGTCATTCTATTGGCGCTTGTAGCTGTTAATTACATAATTTTGCCAATTTGTATGTTATGATTTGAGTAGAAAATAGTCTCTTGAAAATGTTGAACATTATTTGATTTTTTTGGTATAATCTAGCGACGCAACCAGATATGAATTTTGAAACTATATAAGGGCAAAGTGTAGAAGCATTTTTAAACGCTGTTTTCCGATATTTTGCAAACAAAGCCTCTGTTATTTAGTAAGTTTGCGTCGTATATACAGTGACATTTTCATATTTGGAACGTTTATAGAATACTTTTAAACGCTCTAATATTGAATATTGAACTTTGAATACCCTCCACCATTTGCAACGAATTTGGCAATTTTCAAAAAAAAAAAAAAAAATAAAATCCTTAAAAAAATCAGTTGAAGTCTTAAAAATACCTAATGAAGTCGTTATATTAGGGTCTATACTAAGTCGTGGACATGCATAGGCAACTTTTGTCACAATATTTAAAAGCGAAACTTGGAAAAAATCGGTGAATTTTGTCGCTAAAATCATCAAAATACCGAACATATACGAAGGCATGGACCTGCACAGACAATATTTGTCATAGGCTGTAGTATCCATTACGAACTTCAAATTCCAAATTTGAAAAATTCCGAACATCGGGAGATGCCGTTATATGGGGTCTATACGAAGACATAGACCTGCAGAGACAATTTTCTGTCATAGGCTGTAGTATCTATTATGAACTTCAAATTCCAAATTTGAAATTTTAATAATGTTGCTAAAATCATCAGAAAACCGAATATCGGGAGGTTCCGTTATATGGGGTCTATATGAAGACTAGATCTGCACTGACAATTTTCTGTCATACGCTGTAATATCCATTACGAACTATAAATACCAAATTTGAGACAATTCCGGTGAATAATGTCACTGAAATCATCAAAATACCGAATATCGGGAGGTACCGTTATATGGGGGCTATATGAAGGCGGGGACCTGTACGGACAATTTTCTGTCATAGGCTGTAATATCCATTACGAACTTCAAATATCAAATTTCGGATGAATATTGTCGCTTAAATGTCCAAAATACACCAAATATTGGGAGGTACCGTTATATGGGGACTATACCAAAACGTGGACCTACATGGTCCATTTTCAATACCAAAAGTCCTACAGACCTAATCTATATATATAAAAATCAATTGTTGTTTGTTGGTAACGGAATCAGTTGAAAACGGCTGGACCGTTTTGCATAATATTTTGTACAAACGTTCGTCATACCCCGAGTTAGGTTTTGAAAGAAAAAAATATTGACCACACCTCCTTTTACGCCCACTATTACAATTTATCTAAAATCTTTATATTTGCCAAAATAGTGAAGATATCGGTTTGAGAATTATTACACGAGATGCTGTTGGCTTTCCATCCAACCCTAAGTACTTATTTAGGGGCTGAGGAAGGCGCCTACTTTTAAATCTATCTCTCTATATGTAAAAGAAAGTTGTGTTACTCTTATAACATAAAGACCGCCGGTCTGATTTTAACGATTTAGACAAATTCGGAATTGCCTCTTGGCAGAAAACAATAAAATCCAAAAAATGGCGTAAAAATGTGAAATTTGAACATTTTCATTTTGACTTTTAAAATGTACAATAGTAATGTTTTATTTTGCATAATTTTTTTCCATTTTGACTTACTATTTTCGAATGTACATTTGTAGTGTTTTTTTTTTTTTTTTGAATTCTAATATGATGTGTAGGTTTTTTTGGGTAATATAAAGCCACAACGGATAAAACTGTTATTTATAGATTTTATGTATTTATTCGTAATACCCAATAAATACATAAAATCTATAAATAAAAATTTTATACGTTGTCGCTTTATATGAAAATTTTAAAATCGGGAAAATCGACAATTTTTCAATGGAATCGAATTTCAAAATAATAGTACATTCTACCGACAAACTTCGTAATCACCTTTAAAAATTTGCCGCAAAAAATCAGCGAACCAGTTGAAGATTATTTTTTCGATATTGAAGTGTACATATTTTTATTGGTTTGAATTCTGAATGAATAATATTAAAAATGAAATGAGGGCGCAATACGATGTTAAATGCTTTCTACTCCAGGACCTACATCGTGCTTTAGCTGGAAGATGCGAACACATTTAAACAAACAAAAATGGCCGAAGAAGCGTTATGGGGTTAATTTCAAAAAGTGGACCTGCTTCTTTCATATGACAATAAATTGTCAAATGAGAACACAAAATGCAAAATACATTGGGACTGCAATCAGTCAAATACCGACTATAAAGAACGCAAAATATAAATTCTACCTAAACATTCAAGATACCTTTAATCGCTTTTGCAGGTCATGATATGGATCATAACCCCTGATAACGGAACAACCCGATTTCAAGCATATTCCACATTTTAACCATATTTTTCGTACTAATTTTAGCTTATGTTGATAATTTAAGAAGAAACCATCTTTGCAAAAAATTATCACGTTTTGGTATCACCATCATATGATTTAAGGTATTTTCGGGGTCTTGGCCACTTTTTTCATTTTTTTGGCCCTTATATAAATTTTTATTTTTCGGAAAAGTGCGAATCTTTGTCTTGAGGCTACCTGGGGTAAAAAACCCTGGGGTAGAAAATCATCTTACAGATAATTATCCTCATAGGAATTTATTTAAGTATAGTCCCCACATTAGTATATCCCCAAGTCCAGGAATTTGTAACCCCCAAGAGAATATTGGTTGGGAACGTAGATTTGGGATGTACGTCTATATGAAGTAAACTCCGAAATGTCAATGTGGGACTCATTCAGTCGGAAATTGTGGCAGAAACATGAAAAAATACGAAGTTATGAAGTAACTTTATTGGTTCTCACCCGCAAAATTTAAATGACAAACAATTCATGCCCATCTTACTGTAATCGGAGCAAAAGAGTAATTTTTTTGGCTATTCTGACAAGATTCTGCCTTCAAGTATGAGGTGGACAAAACTGAATACCACGCAGTACGGGATTTTAAACGTTGGAAATGCAAATTTCAAATTATAGCTCATTTGAATGCTTTTACTTATAATCAAAATTGGAGTAATTATAATGGCGTCATTACTTATAATCAAAATTTTGCCGCCTACATAAGTCAGATCTGTGATTTATTATGCTTTGAAGACTAAAAGTACGGGCCGGCAACGCGGACCGGTCCAGCTAGTATACATTAAAAATAAAAAATTTTATCAACCTACTTCATTTCGTTCGGAAGCTAGTGTGATTTCCGCAGACAGACGGACATCGCTAAATCGACATAGAATTTAATGCTTATCAAGAATATATATACTTTGTGGGGTCTAAAATGTATATTTCTAATATTTACCATACTATGGTGGAGGGTATAAAACCTGACTTCCATTTGACTCCAATATAAACTGTAAATTAAATTTAGTTATGCTTGTGGCTTGTTACTCCTCATGTCATTTACTAATTCAAATTCTTTTCCAATTCCAGCATTTCGCCAAAAATTGTCAACCTGATGCCAAAGTGATTGACATAAATCCATATCGGCGTGTGTTTGTTGATGAGCACAATAAACGGCGAAATTTAATAGCCTCCGGGCGATTGCCCGGCTACTATCCAGCCTCCAGAATGGCCACAATGGTAAGTTATTCACTCGAAATATTAAAATTCAATTAGACCCAAATGTGATTGAATATTCAAAAAAGAAAGGAATGTCAATAAAAAAAATTAAAAATTTAAAAATTTTGAATACGTCAATATTGCATAATGGAAACTAAGACGACACAATAACCGTAAACTAGGTCTACCGCCCGCCAACAACAAAGGCATCAGCTTCACAACAAACTAATGGAAATGTATGCAAATGGCCAAAAGCGATTAAGAATGCAAACAAAAAAATACACAGACAAATATAATTCTCTCGATCGAAAGGCGCGCGCACTGTCTCAATCACTGAAGATTGTTTTTTTTTTTCTTTTTTTTTTTCGTTTGTACGCCTAACAACAACGCATGTGAGTTAGAAATAAATAAATATTAATGGAAATGTTAAATTAATACAACAAAATTTCGTCTATGAATAATCACAACAACAACGACAACAATACTAGAATCAACCAAAACTCGTAAAATTCTGTTGAATCAAAAATTAAAAAAAAAAACATAAAAATATTGAAAGCCCCAGACAATTAATTAATTCGTTTTCAAACGACGAAAGAAAGAAAGAAGAAAGATGGGATGAATACTCTTTCGCCCTTTTGAATTCCAATAAGATTTCAAGATTAGAATCTGGTTCTATGACAAATAAAATAAAATTTAATGAACTGTCAAAAAAGTGATGATGGCAATGTTATTAAATGTGATTAGCATCGCCTTAAGAGGAGCTTAAATGGCCAGAACAGAAATCGGGTTACCACAAGTCTATTATTCCGTTTCGGATACAAATGGGTGCAGCCATTGATTTATTTTAATTTTATTTTGAGATCTATATAAACCGAAATAGATAATACTAATCATGGAAACCAGTTCGAGAGCTAGGCTGTGTAATGACACATTAATTGGTCTAGAGCTAAAAAAAATGTGATTTGTTTTAAAAGATTAATTTGTTTAACTGACTAAAATTAAATTTATCTTGTCAAAATAAATCAAGAATTATTAACGGTTTGAGTAAAGTTATCAATTTCAATTTATTGCAACCAAAAAATATTAAAAAAGTAATAATAACCTTGAAAAGCATAATTAACATATGTGGCGTATAAGTATTTTCATAACGTATGCGCCCCAATGGACAATACGAGGATTTTTTAAGCAACAACCTGATATTTTTTAAAAAAATACTTCCCAATGAACATTAAAGACTTAAAAGTTGATTTTTTGAATTTTTTTTGTGTATATGTATATATATATATTTTGCCCCATTTTTTCATGGATTTTTCTAAAATTTGGTATTTGTTGGTCATAATGGGACCTAGTTCGTGTACCTCCCGATATGCGGTATTTTGATGATTTTTGCCACACTTTTTCACGGATTTATCTGAAAATTGGTATTTGTAGGTCATAATGGGCCCTAGTTCGTGTGGCGAAGCATTGTATATATAGGCCCACGCTTTGGTATAGCCCCTTTTAACGCACCTCCCGATATTCGGTATTTTGATGATTTTTGCCACACTTTTTCACGGATTTATCTGAAAATTGGTATTTGTAGGTCATAATGGGCCCTAGTTCGTGTGGAGGAGCATTGTATGTATAGGTCCACGCTTTGGTATAACCCCCATATAACGATACCTCCCGATATTCGGTATTTTGATGATTTTTGCCACATTTTTTCACGGATTTGTCTGAGAATTGGTATTTATAAGTCATAATGGGACCTAGTTCGTGTGGCGAAACATTGTATGTACAGGTCCACTTTTTTGTATATTCCTATATAGCGGTAGCTCCCTATATTTGGTATTTTGATGATTTTTGCGACATTTCCCACGAAAATATCGTAATTGGGTCATAATTGGTTCTAATGTTTTAGTTACCCTATGGTGGGGGGTATTAAAAGTTCGGCAATATTCACAATAAAAGACTTCTTGGAGAATTTTTTTTTTTCGACAGAAGATCTCTCATATGTCTTCTATGGAATGAAGACCTCCTATAAAGAAGATTTCTCATAGATCTTCTATGAACAGAAGACCTTGCAAAGATTTCGAACGGTTGAAGGCCCTTCACTGGCCTTCTATGACAAAAAACCTAACCACTGTAAGTCCTTCCACGGGTCTATTATACATTCCACGGGAGTTCCATAGACCGAAAACCTTCCACAGGTCTTCTGTAGATAGAAGACCTTCTACCAACCATCCTTAGGTAATAATACCTCCTAGAGACTTTTTATGGTATGCCCTCTTCTAGCACTTTTTCCTCAGAAGAACTCTCATATGCCTCCCATGGTAAGGAATTCTTCTACAGGCTTTTTCGACATAAAAATCCTTTCACAGGTTTTCTGCAGGAGGTCTTCGGTGGATAAAAGATCCCCTAGAGACTTATATCGCATATATCTCTCATGGGAATACATCCTACCACATGCCTTCTATAGATGAAAGGCCTTCTTCTATTGGTAGAATACTTTCCACATGCCTTCTACGGAAAAAAAATTAAATCTCTTGAAAAATTTATGACCAGATTTTTATGAATGGAAGATGTCGCATTGTCTCCTATGGAAAGAAATCCTTTATAGATAAAAGATCTGCCACAGTTATTTTATGGGTAGAACACCATCATTCGACCTTCTGGGGGGAAAATCAGAGGTATTAGGAAATATTCTAAAAAAAACTGGTATAAAGGTCTTTGAGGCCATATCCCAAAAACTACGATCAGAGTCCTCGAATAAGAAATAAAAAAATCATTTATTACCAAATAATCTCTGCAAAATATTGAAAAAATCAACGATAGTCCCTATAACATATTCACCAATGATCCTGGAAAAAGTATATGCTTAAAAAATCAAGATTGGAAACCTGATAGAAACCTGCATGTGTTCCTTGAAGAAATACGAATTTAGTGACTCAAAAATGTATGATTTGAATGGTTTGCTAAAGGAAATTTTTGCTAAAGGAAGTCGTTTCCCGTACGATTTCCAATCATTTTTCGAAAATCCCAAATTGGGATAGAGAATCTGCCAAAAGTCTTCTATTGCCGAAATTAATGTTTTTTTACTTGTTATACTCTACAACACGACGTATTGAGATATTATAAGTTTAATTGGGCCAAAACTTCTGTAACACCTTGAAATATTGGTCCCCCACATAGGAAACTATATGTGGCTCTTCCTATCTCGCCGAGCTGAGTCGATATAGCTATGTATGTCCGTCCGTTCATCTGTCCATGATAATTTGTAATGATGCTACAGGTCGCAATTATTACTGTTTTTGGAGCTGATCGCAAAATATTTAGTGGCTGAAATGGACCAAAAACTATAAAATTCCCTGATTTTGCCGTTGCTCTACAGGTCGCAATTATAGACCAATTGACGCGGTAATTAGCATAGTGCTAGAGCTTAAGGCTGGGCAGAAGACTTCCAATTTGGATGGTCATCGGGTAATATTTAGTAGGTGAAATAGACCATAATATTTGTGTTAAATAAAAGTCAAATTTTCCATTAAACCGCGAATATTTATAATCCCGGCGAAATCGCAAATAGACGAACAGGTCAATTCTGACCGTTAAGTAGATGCCGATAATAAATATGTCGGATATATATAGCGAAATATATACAATAATCTCAATTTAAAAAATCTCAAGAATGGCTGGACCGATTTTGACAAATGTTGTCATTTCAGAATGCCCTCTTGGCATAAAAGAACAACATCTATAAAAAACTCGCATAAAAAGATGTCAAGCGACACGCCAGAGAAGAGAGTTAAGGGCAGGGAAGAATTTTAGCATTTTGGCTGACCATTGTAATATGCACTTTGTAACAACAATATTTTGGGAAATATATCAAATACAACTCAGAAATACCTTTGCTAAATTTTATAGAGATCGGTTCAGATTTGAATATAGCTCCCAAATATAACTTCGTTCGATTTACCTTTTATTTTGCACCAAATATTTGCCCAAATGGGATGGAATTTGTCACATACGATGAGTCTAGAAGCTAGTATGCCAAATTTGGTCAAGATCGGTTCAGATATAGCTATAGCTACCATATATAATGTTCATCCGATTTGTTGTATTTGTTACCCACAGCCGTAATATGCACTCCGTAACAACGATATTCAGGGAAATATATCAAATACAGCTCAAAAATACCTTTGCCAAATTTTATCGAGATCGGTTCAAATTTGGATATAGCTCCCTATATATATCTTTATCTGATTTCAAATTAATTTTGCACCAAATGGGCAATACAAGTCCGAATTTAAAAGATACAAATGCTTCGGCATATTTAGTCCTTTGAACTTTAAATTATAATTATAATCATAGCGTGTTTGATTGAATTCTCCCATAAAAAAACCTTTAATTGTTATGTGGAGCTCTACTAAATTAGCAAAGTGATGTAGGGTATCCTAAACTCGGCCCCGCCCGAATTTAGGACTTTCCTTACTGGTTTTATGTGAATATTCATTGAAAGATAATTCCTAATTTTTCCCTGTGTATTTTTACCATTTTAATGCATATATTTTCTTCAGACAAATCCAAGCGATTAAGTTATTGTTATTACTCGAAAAACGTGGAATTAATTAAATCGACACCGCACAATGCGCTGTTTTATTAATTATGCTTTTTTGTTTTATTCATATGTACAAAACGAGTAATTTCTCTATTCGAGCATTGTTTGTCATGGATTATTAAAGAGAAAATAATTTTAAATAAAACAAGTGAAAATAATATTAGAAAAGAAATAAGTCGTTTTTTATTTTCTATCAGATCTTTTAACCCAATTGATAAAGGTATTAACTAGGACTAGATTCTATTGTTGACAATCGAATATTGTACAAGTTTTCAAATTTTAATAATTCTCTAAATGAAATAATAAATAATTTATGAATAAAAACAATAATACATTACCCTTTTGTTATTTATTCCTGATTTATCACCTATATTTATGGAAATAATTCCCCTTGTACATCCAATAACTCAGACAAAATTATTTTTAG